AACGATCCGTTGTAATATAGTTTCGCGGACGCTATCCCGAACAAAATCCTCGTACGAGACGTCGTAACGTAGATTACTTCGCGCAGAACCACGCGACGGTGCTGGTGGTGGAAAAGGTCCTCGACGAGACACTTGACCGTCGTCATTGTCGTGTTCGAAGGAAAGGAAACCGCCGCTCCACGCCGCACTGGCCGCGAAGTGACGACGATAAGCGAGAAGTCGTGTTCTTTCGGCTTGGACCGAACGCGGGCGGGCGAGCCGCGATAGCGCGCGTTAACTCTCAGCTCCACACACACACACACACACACACACACACACTTTGCCATCGGGGTTTGGTTCCAACGCCGCGATCGCGGTTCAAAGTTCAAACTCGATTTAACTTTGAAATCGGGTCCGCTCGCATTGACTGGTCGATGGCCAAGTGCCTACACCGACGCTCCTTTATGAGTGTTCCGAGAATTTGGGCTTTTTAATTGTCGTACCGCGATATTGGTCGTCCTGACGTTTTTACGCAACGTCGCCCGCTCGCGCTAATGCCAGGCGAGTTTATGTGTTTAACGAGGCGCACGTGGGGGTTAAACGCATGGCTTGCTTTTTCTCTCTCTCTCTCTCTTTCCGCCGCTACTGTACGAATGAAATTTCCACGATTCGCTTTGGTATGAAATACTTTGAATAATTCGTGACGCTTGTTGGCTAGGGGATGCAAATGCGGGCTATTTTTTTTTTCGACTATCGTCGTTATTTTAGGCTCGCCGCTACGTGGATTTCAGAGGGGATTTCGCAAATAGTCGTTTTCTCTGCGCGAGCGGAGATGCTTCGTGGTGGATTTGAGGGTAAAATGTAATATTTGACGGTTAATTTATAAATATTCGATTTCCACTCTCGGCAGTATACGAAATTAAGAAGATTGGATCGTTATAATAAATAACCGATGTCCTGTTATTTTGACTCGAAAATATCATATTCTCTATATAGTTATACATATTTATGATATTCCGTTTTTTACGATGAAATATTGGTGTCCTTCTTCTAAATTAGACTTGTTCGACTTTCATCTTTAAAATAGTTATCAAGAGATGGGAAATATTTTCTTCCATGTGAACATACCCGATATGTAAATTTCAGAATGTATAATGTAGCGAAAACATTTGTACGAATAGCCTAGTCATCCGATAACCGACCACGCGTATCATCGAAAAGTGTGCGCAGCCGCGATATGTTAATTCTCGCAAACACGATAATAATAATTTGCAAACGCGCGGTTCGAATACGCAGATCGGCGTGCTTCAAGATAATAATATATAACCTCGGCACATATATGCATATTGCAAATAAAGCAAGATATACGACAAGTGGCCGGTTAGAAATAACATGTATTTTCAGTCAAATGAATATTTATAATATATTAAATTAACATGTGTACTTTATTCATTTGTTCTTACGTTTCCAACACACATTATTTTTATGCTATTCGTTTACTTACGCATAAATTATGTTATTTTAATACCAAGAAATGTTGAATATCAATTTAACGTCACTAAAAAAAAAAATAAATCTTGCTGTTATAGCGAAAATTATCTAAGTACGAAGAATTAGCTAAAATAGATAAATTTTTAGCAAGTACTGCGATATTGAATATCGTATCGTATAGGACATCTAATCAGATGACCGAGATAGAATTTAGATTTGTGCTATAAATTCTATGCGTATGACACGTAATTTTCTATTGGATACAAAAAACAGCGATAATTCTAGCTAGAAATAATTCTAGCAAAATATTTTTTTGCGTGGCATAAATTCAAATAACGCAACCACATTATGTTGAATTAATACATGGGTATATTAAAAATTCAACATAATAATTTTAATATTAAGAATCGGTTTTAACACAAACGCATGTATAATGACATTCTGTATAATGACATTCTCGGAAATCTTAATTACCTTTGTACGAACGTCACGTGACAATGCGCATTTAGCAGCCGGCCGGCTGGTAAGACACGTTAAATCGCGGGTTTATTCCGGCCTGCACGGCCGATGTATAGTTGCGAGCTGAAGGGGGTAATTTCCGAACGATAATCGCTGTTTGAAGCTGTCGATCGTCCCATTACCTCTGCCCTCGTCCATCGATTTACAAACGATTAGAGTTGCCTTCCGCAAACTCATCGTTGCACATATATATATGTACGCGAAGACGCAGTCGCGAGATCGTATCGAGTGTTTTAATTAAATATGAGATGGTACTAAATTTTCGTGCGACGCATGCTAAAAATACAAGCGCTAAAAGAGAATGAGGTTAAAGTGACGAACTAATTTCAACGTTGAGAGAGCAGTCGTAAGTTCAATGAACGACGAATGGAAGATTGAGAAAATGGCCATGGGGAGATTTTGTAATTTCTTTAATGACAATCTCGAAATTTTGTTTATGGCGATCGATGCGTACGGCGAAGCGTGGTGAAAGGGCAATTCCCGAACGACAATGGTTTGTTCGAAGCCGCCACCGACCGTTCCATTATCTCGACCGATTCGCAAACAGTAGTTATACACTCCACAAACTCACTATTTCATAGGTAAAGATGGCTACCGTGCCTCTCGCGATCGCACGGCGAATGTTTTAATTAAGTACGAACTTAAAACAAAGTTTCGTCATGGATACTAAAAATGCGCTCGATACCAGACACAAAAGGGGGAGGGAAGGAGGAGTTAAATCAACGAACTAATTTCAAAGCGAAACACACCGCGGTCCGGCTTCGATTGGACGATATAATGCGAAGGAAAAAAGGTCCGGATTCGTTCGAGGGAGAATAAATTCGGTGATTTTTCTGGCTGACTGTTATTCCAATTTATTCGAGCTGAACGAAAATAATAATTCGCCAACTCGTCGCTATGTAAACTGAGACGCAGCCGTTTTAAATTCCATTTGATTCTTCGAGATTCTCTCTCCCTCTCTCTCTCTCTCTCTCTCTCTCTCTCTCTCTGTCGGCCGATAACTTGGATGTAATTCAATTATATATCGACTCGCGAATTTTTGTTTATCGCGGATCGAAGAGGTCTCTCGGTATTTTCGTACGCGACTAGATATTGTTATTCCCGGCGCTTTGCATGGATATACATAAATGCATGGCGTGCTTTGTGTACTAGCTTTTATTCGCCTAGCTTTTATTCTTCTGGTTTTTATTCTTCCATGTCACGTTGCATTTTGCCGCGCGCGAGCAAGCTAGACGAGCCGTGCACAAGGTATGCATTTGTCGATGTATATATGTACATTCGGTGCTTCTCTGTCGACGATTTAATCGGACGATTTGAAGATAATTGCGAAATTGACGTCGGGCATTAGCGGGTACGTTAATTTACTAATTCACTTGTCGTATAATAAATGCCGCCAATACGTTGCGTCGCTTTGAAATTATTTTTTCAAACGGCAGGCACTTTAACTCGCAAATCAGAAGCGATTCATGCTATTGAACTTGGACAAACAATCAAAATATGCCTGGCACGTCAAATGCGTGTACGCATGTCGAAAAATGGATTTCGATGTCTCTTACGAGAGCTTTATTCATGTAGATTCAGTTATTGTCATGCCAACGTTGATTCGCAATAGTAACTACATTTCCTCTCTACGATTAGAGATATTATACTTGTAATGAAATCTTATGCAATCCCATTGAAAGTTATTTGAACCGTATGATGTAATTCTCTAATTTGTATATTTCTATATCCTATACCTTTATGGAAATACAATTCAATATTGGACAATTTAATAAATATTAAAAGGTACAAAACCTGAAGTAAATATCTGAAAATGTAGCTTGATACAGATTTTGTAAAGAATTTTATCATATTATCAAAATAATTATGTATAGGGTGTTCATTTAAGCTGGTGTCAATTGCCGAATGTCAATTTTTTTTTGCAGACAGCTCATGCTCGAGTTCCCTACATAATTATTAGATACTTGAGACAAGTTTTTAAATATTTGAGCAAAGGCGTTCCTTCTCTAAATACATAAAATGATTATTTATTTTGAATATTAAAATCGTTGAATTCTTGATACTCAAAATAAATATTAATCAATTTCCGATATTACATTTTTGTAAAGGACATTTGAAAATTTTTTCGCAATTAAAATTGTTCACCGTATATCATATCATTCTTGTTAATTATTGTTAGATACTTGCATGACTGACTATTTTTCTCTCTCTCTCTCTCTCTCTCTCTCTCTCTCTCTCTCTCTCACATCGCTCTTTCATAAATTTCGATGCTAAGAATCCACTCCGAGACTTTAATGGGACGTCACTTTATTTGTAAAACTTGTACACGCTTATCTGAGAAGAATGGAGTGTCGCTTTGGAATACACTTGACGCGACAAATCCATCTCTCTCAATCCGCGTCTCGCTGTATAATATATTGTACTTTATCTGTGAGAAATATGACCGATCGCGTACCTGAATGGATCAGCAACGACGACAATACGAGGAGCCGGGGCAGTAGGACGGCGAAGGCCGCGCGCAACATCCTCGCTCCCGCGAGTGATCCTGATTCTCCAAGATCGCCGGGAGCGCTCCGCGACGATGATGCGCTCGGCGCTCGGCGCTCGGCGCGCGGCGCGGCGCAGCGCGGCGCAGCGCAACACGACGGCGGCAGGTAAAGGAGATCGACCTATCTCCTAACTCCCGCGACCGGCGTCACTGGCGACGAGTTATCATCGCTCCTCACACAGGACGAATGGGAGAAGAGGGAAGGACACCGAGACCACAATGTGATCCTGGTAAACACTCGGCCGCGGCGAACTCGTACGCGCGATTTTTTTATACTTTTTTTTTTCCCCAAATGTATCGAATGCGTTGAAGAGTCGCCGGTGGGAAATCGATCTTTCCACGTTGGCCAGTCGAGCGAACGAAAGAGAACACGCGCGCGATGTTATATCCGTGCGCAAGAAGATGCACGCGGCTTCCCACTCGCGCGCGTAAACGAGAATTGTGTCGGTAAAATCCAAAGAGTATGATGCTGACAGCGGCGAGTTGTGACGGCAGCGACGAGTGTTTCAAGTACTAACTTGCGGCGACTCGTGGTGACACGCGACACATAATTTTCTCCACGGCCGCCCCTTGACTAATTGAAAATCTATATACGGCTGCGTTACACGGGTTTCCACCTTCCGCGGAAAGCAGTCGGTACTGCGGCATCGGCACCGGAGGAGGACGAGGCGCCGAGGCGCGCGCGAGAGAGGGTTGGTGCGGCGAGCCAAGAGGGACGGGGGTGCGCACACCGATGTATGAGGGAAAGGGAGAGGAGAGAGACAGAGGAAGAGAGGGGGAGAGAGAGAGAGAGAGAGAGAGAAAGAGAGACGCGACAAAGTCGAGGAGGTGGTAGCGAACGGCAGTGCTGTTGCTGCTGCTGCTAGTGCTACTGCTACTGCTACTGCTACTGCTGCTGCTGCTGGTACCGCTGCTGAGTGTGGTGCTGGTGGTGGTAGAGGTGATGGCAGTGGTTCTGGCGGTGGTGGTGGTTGTGCCGATGGTGGCGGCGGCGCTCGAGGAGGGCGGAAGACCACCTGGCTGGCAGCGCGGGGTGGAAAGAGCATGAGAAGGATGGAACGATCGGGTAGAGGTCGAGGGGGTTTGGGAGAGCAGGAAGAGGAGGAGAAGAACGGAGGGAGAGAGGGCAGGGTGAGTGAGTTCGAGTTGCTTCCTGGGCGACTGCGCTGTTCTCCAAGTCGATGATCGCTGCAAAATCTTCCATCTCTCTCTTTCTAGCGCGAGGACCGCCTCACCCCCACCCCCTTCTCTCTCTCTCTCTCTCTCTCTCTCTCTCTCTCTCTCTCTCTCTCTCTTTCTCGATGCGTTCCTCGTATGTACACGCGCATTTCTCACTTCCACGCTCGGCGAGAGTATGCGTTTGTCATATACGCGTATATATATATATGTGTGTGTGTGTGTGTGTGTGTGTGTGTGTGTGTGTTGTGTTGTGTTGTGTGTGTAAGTGCAATGTACGCGAAAGAGGATGGCGCTCGCGCGTCCGTGCGGGCGCTAACGAAATTGGCGAAATACGCTCCGCTCGGAGGAGCGCGGACGGAAGCTGCCGTCCGTCCCTCTCGAACTCGTGGCGTCCGGCGTATCGCGTCGTCGTCGTCTCACTTTCGACCGCATCGCGCCGTGCCGCGCTGCACCGCATCACCGCGCGCCGCGCTACCACCACGATCTCAGCTGCGGGAAAAACGATCGGCGGACGAGAGGATAACGCGGAAGTTAGTTGGCGATCGTCCGGAGCGATCTTCCGTACATCGGGCTTAATCCTGTGGCCCGGTAATAGGATCGACCGGCGATCCCTTGGGGAGTATCCGGCGCGACTCTCGAGATTTTCGAATTTATGGGGGAATTGCGGGCGTACGTACGCTTCTTGGACGCCACCGTATGGAATATGCTCCTCGCCATAAATCCGAAATTCCGAGTGGCCCGAACGACGTCCATTGTTGGGCCGGAGGGTGTAAGGAGAGTCCGTCGTCCCGCGATTGTCCTGCAAGACCGCCCAATGACATTTGCCAGGGAGAGAATTCGAGATATATTTTATTTATAAATCAAATCTACTTCATTTCTTCTCTGATTGAATTAAAATAAAATAACAGGTCTCTGATATAATTCCGACTCTCATTGGTGCATATTTTCTGTCATATCATGTATACAATTGACTTAGATATTTCTCTATAGTATACATTTGTATTGTAAAAAATGTAAATGTAATATTAAAATAGCATACTTTAAAAGCATACTATTTTAAAAAGCTTAACAAATAATCGAGGATAGTCTATGTCTGTGCACTACACCTTTTTTAAACTTTTCTTTCTAATTTTCATCACATATGTGATGAATATATGTACAACGGATCTCGAAATTATGAGTACGATATTAACATGACGGTACTATTTCAGTGACAACATGCAATATAAGGTAATTTCAGAGCTAAATCGCGAGTAAAAGAAACAGCATTATGTTAACGAATGTAATTAATGTATGCCACAGTCTTTGCGACGTGCAGCTACTCGAGATATGTAGCTACAGCGCTGGTACTCGGGAAATCTCGGGATGAGTATTATTCCTTATTTGAACCATAAGCTCGGTATCAACTCGCTCGCAATGGTACCGTTGGTGCGGCGTAATGGGCTTCTCCTACGCGTTACGTCAAAAAAGACGTAAAAAGAATAAGAGGAAGGGCGTTTCGTGCAGCCACTCACACTCGGAAAAGGAGAGCGGTCTGTATATAGCGAAAGAATTTCTCTCGCATTTCGAGTTATTGCACTTGACAGGTTTCTCGCCCCTGCGCTCACTCCACGTTATACTACGGCGAGTGCCGGCGAGCTTGCGGCGAGAAACGGGAAATGGGAGGATAAGGCGAAAGTTAGTTGGTGATCGTCCGTGCATCGAGCTTTAATCCTTTGTCCCGGTAACGGGATCCTGGCGTTAAATCCCTTCGGTCTCGCATCCGCGGAGGATCTTTCGTACTTGTCCAAATAAGGGCGGTAATTTAACACCGCGGAGACGAGCGAGAGCGAACGGTCATTTCCACTGCTCGCTCGAATTCTCGGTTGCCGTAAAATCCCGAATTTACTCTCTCGATTGACTTACACATTATTTTATCCTTTCACCTATATTCCGCCTTCCTTTATTTGACTCTCAACCGTTATAACTTTATACGAATATCTCTGAATTTTCTTAAAAAAAAATTGCATAAATTGAAACGGTAGTTTTTGAATGTCAATTTTAAACAAATATAATAAATAATAATAATAATAATAACAAAGTAGAGGAAAATGCACTTTTAAAGGTGAGGCATCAGCATAATGTTGCTTTGAAGCCTAAACCTACGATATAATAAAAATAAAAATAACAGCATGCGTGTGTGTGTGTGTGTGTGTGTGTGTGTGTGTGTGTGTGTGTGTGTGTGTGTGAACAAAACAATAAAATAATAAATGTTTCTTACATTTTTTTCTTTCTCTGTTTCAATCTTGCATTATTTTTCTTTTAGGTTTAATAACTTCCGCGGTTATTCTTTTTAAGGTACAAGTACCCAAAGCGATCATTTCGATCATCGGCGAATTCCAAATAGGTCACCTTCCGCTCGGTTATTTGATAGACTTTTGCGGTCTTTCTATCTGTCCTGCCCTCTTACAGTTCCCTCTCTTGCACTTGTCCAAATAAAACCGGTGGTCTTGTAATTCTGGAAGGATCGAAGCGGCGGCGATTTTGTCCGTCGGGGAATTTTAAACGTGAGTAATCCCGTTTCTACTTGAGAGATTCCTACATTTTTCAGTCTGTCCATTGCGCCTTCGCGCTCTTTAATCTCCAGCGGTAATGGGGACCGCTATATAAATAGCTCTGTTTGGAAAAAGAAGATGGCCGCTGCCTAGATGTAAGGACTTTTTAATAGCTTTTTTTCAACGTCGCACACATGCGGAATCTGCTAATTAATTTTGACGAACAGTTTTCCAGCTCTTGGAAAATTTCCCGTGCAAAAGTATAATATTGACGGCAAACGGTATACCACCAGTGTTAAACGTTATTCGAGGATCGAATCACAGACGCGTCTCTTCGTCGCGCTCTTCGCATAGTTACATGTTACATAAAGCAGATGGAAGAGTGTTTCGCATAGTTTCTCGTTGCCACGAGATACACGTCGTGATATCATAGAATCTCTTTCGCATTTGTGAAGTTATCGCGCTTGGCTG